AAGTGAAAAAGTGAAGCCAAATGAGATCCAGAAGACATCCAGATAAATTTCTGAAACAATGATGGTAAATAAAGGAAATCGACCTGGTATTATGAATTTTATTTAAGTTTTTCTATTATTGCCTATACTCAGTTTAACTGCCATACGCCAGGGCGTCCTATTACCTCGATTCCGACGAGATGCAAAGGCTCCCCATGGCTTCAGACGATGAGGGATCTAAAGGAGAAGTGCCTGTATTGGACCTGGGATGTTCTGTGTAATTTCGCATTGGCAGCGAGGAAAATTATATTATGAGAGTAACAGTGACAAGGAGGGAGAGGAACGATTGCACCACTTTTACCCTGCCTCCCATCCCGCCCTTCCCCCCTCCCAGCCAATTATCGCCTTGTCATGGGTTGCGTTAGGCTTACCCACGCAACCAACTCCAAAGTTTGTTTTACCAGAGATAAGACGCCCGGCGAGGCATAACTGGGACATGTATTTTTCATTCGTGTATGTCAGCCAGCCTTTAGGGGGGTGAGCAGTGAAACAGTGTTGTACTGTTCATCGCTTCACACCCAAAAACCTCATTTTAAGTAGTACCCCCTGAGCCATGGGTTAGTTAGGACGTCGTCTCCATTCTCTCCCTCCTGAAGGGGGGGGGGCGGGACACCACACCACACAGAGTACTCCACCGCCACTCCGTCCTGTGAACCGTCGTCGACACGAGACTAAGTGTGTTAACCTAGGCTTGTTATCCCCGTGGAAATATCACGTGTGGAAGCCTGGTTGCGACAAAAGCAATCCAGGCTGGTCTATTGCACCTAAATGGTTAATTCAGTTCACGCTTACCAGTTCTCCTTGCCGCGACAACCGTCTACCGTGACTCAGTGACGCGAGACTATGTGTGGTAAACCAAGAGTACCTTTTGTTGTTATGGCCGTGGAAGGTCGACACGAGACTAAGCGTGTTAACCTAGGTTGTTATCCCCGTGGAAATATCACGTGTGGAAGCCTGGTTGCGACAAAAGCAATCCAGGCTGGTCTATTGCACCTAGATGGTTAATTCAAGTCAAGCTTACAGAGTTCTCCTGCAGGCCACCATGTGTGGTAACCCAAGAGTACTTTTTGTTGCTGTGGCCCGTGGAAAGAAGTCCTTGTGCGGAAGCCTGGTTGCAACAAAAGCAATCCAGGCTGGCAGTAAATGTATCACTTGAAGAATTAAGGCTCTGTTAAGTCATACCACAGTAGAGTAATCACATGTGTCCCCAAGTTGGAAATTCTCTTTTAGGAGATTAATTTTATTACAGCGTGAACGTGAGTGAATCATATATCCATGCAAATTGTAAATCATTGTATGGAAGCTTGACAAATAAATGTAAGTGCAATTATCTGCCCGTATCTGTGATCCTATCTTATTATTACTAAAGGTAATGACTGATTGGTTATGACATAGTATAACCAATAACTTAGATGGATGTTGAAAATTAAATGAATTCATTAAATCATCATTTATCAAGTATAAATCATGGAATGTCGAGTGGTGGATTGAACTTCTACGTAGATACGCCATAATCTCCTGTAAGTAATCAGTGTGAAGGTATCGGACTCTACGGTAAGAAATAAGAAATATTATATTATTATCTTTATATAATATAATCCACTCCTACTACCAACCGATCCACCCCAAAACCATGACAATTGGCGCCCGAACAGGGACACAGACCGCGGATAATTGCACTCTTGTCAGCAGTTTGTGCAAACGCGTATATTGTACTACGAAATGATTACTAGTACATTTGATGGGACTCTAAGAAATTTTGAATGTGAAGTTAAAGGAAAAAAAAAACAAAACAGAAGAGGACTTGTGATGTTTGCCAGAACCAGCGACGGAGGGCGAGTTCTACCTGCACCCCTGTGGCCTCTCACAGTGATCCCCGAACCCTTGAGAGGGTGGCGGCGGACATTGTGGTCAGCAAACCCAGTTCCACATCAGCCAGCTGATTCAGTACGAGGCGGTGGACTGCACACCCAAGGGTGAGTGACGGGAAGAGTACCTCCACACCTTTGGGGGTCCTCATCAACGGAAGGACCCAGTTCCACCTCAGCCTCCCGATTTACTACGAGGCGGTGGACAGTAAACCCAAGGGCGAGTGACGGACAGATTTACATCTTCATTTTGGTGGACTTCAGCTTGAGGCGGTGGACAGTAGACCCAATGGTGAGTGATGGGCAGAGTACACCCTCACCTTGGGGGCCCTCAGCGAAAGAGGGACCCAGTTCCACATCAGCCGGCTGGAGGAGTCCTTCTCTTCATCAACGGGAAAGTTCATTCGACATTGCAGAGCGTGTCTAGGACCTGACCTATGTGTGGGAGTGTCCATATGTTCCGGTCAACTCGAACCTCCACGCATCTGACGACTCTTCAAATGTTATGTAAACCTTTTCACACCTCTCTACATTTAAGAACATAACACGACACCTGTACCACCTAAACAATGTCTACATACCGTACACTGCACAACACGTTGCTGTAACATAAATGTAGCGTGTTTACGCTTAGCATGAACTATTGCTCGTGAATTGTCACCCTCGCCTCGGAGTTTTCCTCCAGCCTGAAAATCTAAAGTAAATGTTGAGGTTTTCCCTCAGTGGCGATTGGCGACTACATCCCGTTGCAGTGTTAGTGTCACACACACCACAGTGTGAATGTTGAATTGTGTGTCTGGGCTAGGCATTCTCTTGATTGTATACAGGTGCTGAAATTTTATTCTCCGAAGAAAAATTTTTCTTAGTAGGGGCGATTGTCATGGGTTGCGTTAGGCTTACCCACGCAACCAACTCCAAAGTTTGTTTTACCAGAGATAAGACGCCCGGCGAGGCATAACTGGGACATGTATTTTTCATTAGTGTATGTCAGCCAGCCTTTAGGGGGGTGAGCAGTGAAACAGTGTTGTACTGTTCATCGCTTCACACCCAAAAACCTCATTTTAAGTAGTACCCCCTGAGCCATGGGTTAGTTAGGACGTCGTCTCCATTCTCTCCCTCCTGAAGGGGGGGCGGGACACCACACCACACAGAGTCCTCCACCGCACTCCGTCCTGTGAACCGTCGTCGACACGAGACTAAGCGTGTTAACCTAGGTTGTTATCCCCGTGGAAATATCACGTGTGGATGCCTGGTTGCGACAAGAGCAATCCAGGCTGGCCTATCAAACCTACAGTAAATGGTTAATTAATTCACGCTTACAGAGTTCTCCTGCACGACACCCGTCTACTGTGACCGTGATCGACACGAGACTAAGTGTGTTAACCTAGGCTTGTTATCCCCGTGGAAATATCACGTGTGGAAGCCTGGTTGCGACAAAAGCAATCCAGGCTGGTCTATTGCACCTAAATGGTTAATTCAGTTCACGCTTACCAGTTCTCCTTGCCGCGACAACCGTCTACCGTGACTCAGTGACGCGAGACTATGTGTGGTAAACCAAGAGTACCTTTTGTTGTTATGGCCGTGGAAGGTCGACACGAGACTAAGCGTGTTAACCTAGGTTGTTATCCCCGTGGAAATATCACGTGTGGATGCCTGGTTGCGACAAAAGCAATCCAGGCTGGTCTATTGCACCTAGATGGTTAATTCAAGTCACGCTTACAGAGTTCTCCTGCACGACACCATGTGTGGTAACCCAAGAGTACTTTTTGTTGCTGTGGCCCGTGGAAAGAAGTCCTTGTGCGGAAGCCTGGTTGCAACAAAAGCAATCCAGGCTGGCAGTAAATGTATCACTTGAAGAATTAAGTCTCTGTTAAGTCATACCACAGTAGAGTAATCACATGTGTCCCCAAGTTGGAAATTCTCTTTTAGGAGATTAATTTTATTACAGCGTGAACGTGAGTGAATCATATATCCATGCAAATTGTAAATCATTGTATGGAAGCTTGACAAATAAATGTAAGTGCAATTATCTGCCCGTATCTGTGATCCTATCTTATTATTACTAAAGGTAATGACTGATTGGTTATGACATAGTATAACCAATAACTTAGATGGATGTTGAAAATTAAATGAATTCATTAAATCATCATTTATCAAGTATAAATCATGGAATGTCGAGTGGTGGAGTGAACTTCTACGTAGATACGCCATAATCTCCTGTAAGTAATCAGTGTGAAGGTATCGGACTCTACGGTAAGAAATAAGAAATATTATATTATTATCTTTATATAATATAATCCACTCCTACTACCAACCGATCCACCCCAAAACCATGACACGCCTCAAGGTCTGCCATACCACAGGCAGACTCTCCCACAATACCTACTGCCTTCTTACCGCCTACTGGTCCATCTGCAAGTTTTCAAACAGGCACAAGTGGAGCACATATTCAGCAGGTGGGATGAAAAAGTGACGTACAGTGAGGGACCGACAGACGCCACAGAGCACGCCACCACACCAGCCAACTGCTTACCTCTTTTTCATGAAGACACTATGCTGGCTAGGGTGGTGGTCCTCTCCAACGCTTGCACAGAGAGATTTGCTGAAAAATATATAGTCAAGACGGCTACAGTTAAGAAAATAACGCTGGTGGAGCTGAAGGCCTTCCTATGGGTCTTGGTATTTTAGGCGATCAAGAAAGACAACAGCATGGATCACCCATGTACAGAGCTGCCATGAGTGAAAGACTTTTCTGCTCCCTGCTTCCTGACGACAAACCTGTTTCACATTGAAATTACCCAGAAAACCACTGCCCAAACATCCAAGTGTGCTTTAGGGTTTCGCTGGACAAGCTGGTACTAGGTGTTATTTACAAATATTATTAATGCGTGGAATTATACAAAATAATTTCAGCAACTAAGAATATTTATGCAATGTGTGTTTGTAAACTCTAGTGTCTGTAAAACATCAATAGTAACAAAATGGTCAACATAGAATATCCAATCGCTGTATTTAAAAAATAAATAATTTGTAGGTTAACTGACCCTTTTGCTCATGGATTATCTACTGTAGATATAAAAAAGTGGCACTGACCTGAAGCTTGGGAAAAAATGAAGGGAAGTCTGGGCGGAGAACAGAGAGGTCATTATGCATGATGTTCAATTCTCGGATGCCGCGCAGCGAATGCAACATCCTGGTGGTGTTGACCAGCTGCACCACTATCTGTGGTGACCCGTACATCTCCAGGATCTGCAGACCCTTCAGGGGGTCGAAAAGTGTATCAGGAATCTCCACTGAAGATGAATGGATGCGAGACATCTGCAGAACTCGGACAGAAGTAAGGCCAGTCATGACATCCGCATCCAGCGTTAGTATTGGGTTTTGTGACAGATCGAGCTTCACCAAACTTGCTAACCGTGAAAATACTCGACCTGTGAGATTAGTCAACCGATTGGCTTTTAAGTCAAGAGTATGAAGACTTGTTAATTCACTTAGTGCGGATGGGGCGATAATTGCAATATGATTACGTTGAAGAAATAATTGTTCTAATTTGGACTGAACCCGGAAGTCGCCCTCATGGAGTCCAGTTATAAGGTTCTCCTCAACATATAGGGCATGTAAGGCCGGGGGAAGTGACAAGGGAATATTTTTAAGTTTGTTGCCGTTGAGCCAAAGGCGAGCCAGGTACTCGTGGCGTCCCAGCGCATCTTCTTCCAGAACCTCTAGCCCATTATCATCAAGGACCAGAAGACCTAAATAAGGGTAAGAGTCGAGGTCTCCCCGTTGAATCTCTCTGATGGAATTTTTAGCAAGACGAAGATCCCTCACAAACTGTGTGAGAGCCTGAGGCACTCGACTGATCCCAATATTAGAGACATCTATGTACTGCAAGCGAGACCCAAAAAAATCTAGGGTGGCTAGAGAGGAAAGTGGATTGTTAGAGAGAATGAGGTGAGCTAGACTGGTGAGATGTTGGAAGGCCGCTACCTCAACATTCAGTATCTTATTGGCGTCTAAGTTAACATACTGAACTCGGTCCAATCCTTGAAATGTATCTTGTGTGAGGCTGGTGAGGGCATTGTCTCGCAAGTTAAGGTGCTGCAGCGCTGGCAAGTGAGTGAACGGCTGTGTTAGGTTAGCCAGTCGGTTAGCGGATAGGTCCAAATGTCTTAGCGATCTAAGGCCACGGAATGAGTCTGGGCCTAACACCATCAGCCGGTTTTCTGATAAGTCTAGTCGGTCCAAATCTGCCATGGTTGCAAACGCATCATCATAAAGTCTGGTAACGTTGCACTGATTAAGTTGAAGTTCTCGCAGGCCGGGAAGGTGATGCAGCTGAGCAGATCCCAGCTCAGGTACCAGGAATCCACGGAGCTCCACACGGGTTAGACCAGTCGGCAACGTCGGGGGCGCCCACTGATCGTCGCCCACACACGTAGCGTATCCCGCCTGTGGGTAAGAAAGATAAACAGTTACAATATATATATATATATATATATATATATATATATATATATATATATATATATATATATATATATATATATATATATATATATATATATATATATCACGTTCTTCATGCATTGTTACATAATTGTATCAGTATCTAAATAAAGTGGTAAAGTGTGACATCACGATTTATATCACCACATTCTGGTTGTAAAGATAATTTATGATGCCTATCCTCAAGTATCTGAAGAACCTACAAGCTCTCAAATCTGTGTAGGCTAATTATTGTGTTATTCAAAGATTAGAAGTTTCCAAAACAATTTTCTCACATTCTGTTGTGGTGAATTTTTTCTTCTATTTTTTTACTCTTCTTTCGCTTCTAAAGTGGGCCTACCTGAATAGGGGCCACTGTTTTGTCCCGGGTGTGCTTATCAATATTTTACCAAATGAAATCAAACAATTGAAATAAGGAAAAATCAAATTAGATGAGAAAATTTGTTGTATATTAATTGCAGATCGTCACAGAACCTGTGTGACAACTGCAGTCAATCAGTATAGTATATATTTTTGTTCATGTTCTACATGGTCGATCTCTTCATAATTCAATGGTACGGTTGAGGAATAAGAATTAAACCTTTACCTTTATTAGTTTCTTCTTTTACTAATTAGAAAATTACATGTGACTAAAAATATCGGAATTGTTCCCGCAGAACTCAGGAGTGTTGAAAATGCCAAATACTTTTCATACAGAAGTACGAAGGCTCCTAAAACAATTTTCGGAGTTATAGCAACAGTTTGTAAATAAACTTTCCCATTTTTAACACCAAAAGACAATCGAATTGAAGAATTTTTGCTACAATTGTAATCTAACAGTTTCCTGTAAGAATAGAGGTGTATTAGCCCCTGCCTCATTGTAGACAGTAGTATTATATACATATGGGGATGTTTCTAACAGCCATAGCTCATTGAGATAGTTACGGTGATAATCCTTTTTGAAAGTGTACATAGAAACATTTTATAATAAACGAAGAAAAGGAACATATTGGGTTTCGCTATAGAAAATCCAATAAACTTTTATCTATATTTTAGTTCGCTTACCTTATCAGTCTCTAAGGTCATTGGCTAGCGTATAAGGAGTAAGTGTCTAGAATATAAGGTAGCAGCTTTACAAGTGGCTGTTACAAGTGGTGACAACCCAGGAAGGTTGTTACATATATGACAGCTTCACATGTAGTTGTTATACAACGGTAACAGTCACCCAGCAGTTACACAGTTGGTAAAGGGAGAGATAATGTATTCTCCCTGTTAGTGTGTTACATTCCCATACTGTGTTAAACTGTTATTAAGAAGATTTAGTTACAGAGGGTTGGGAAGGAATATCTTCTCAGATATTATATTTTCTATCTTTGTGTATTACCAATAATTTACCTTTACCTTTTAGGCGAGTATAAATAACTATTTTAGTGATCTGTGTACAAAGGGTATGATGTAGTTATAAAACGTGATTGTAGAAAGTCACAGTCCTGACATCTTAAATCCCCCCCTTAAATGTGCGGTTTTTAAAGGATTATAAGTAATCATTTCATCTTTATGCACTAGACTTCAATATCATGGAATTCGCTTTTTCCGGACTCCCTGAGGTGCTCTGCAGCACCACTGTTATCACGAAAAATATTTTTTAAAAGTCAAGAAAATCCAGTATCAGTACCAGTGGCATGCGTGTTCGTACGTGCAGCGAACGTCTGTGTGTGTACAGTATGTGTGTTTCACTGGACGTGTCTCTTTACGAGTCCTGCCTTCATATGCATCGTATCAGTGTGCTACACCTCACTACCTACACTCATTCATGTAAACTTTTTATGTAGAGTACGTAGTATCTTAACGGAGATACTTGAGGGTTCTAAGAAATGTGTTAAAATAATGTAGAGTATTGTATATATTTTAAGAAATGGGTAAATTTAAAAATAATGTGGTTTGGAGGAGGGGGCTGATAGGCGTTGCCACATTTGTCAGGTTTATTTATTGATTCAGTATTATATTCTAGTCTGATCAGCCTCTTACGGTATATGTTTCATTATGATAAATATAACTTCTTCAATAATATATTATATAAAATTTGATTTGGAGATACCTTCCTAACATGATGGTTCAATTTGGCTAATTGTACACTTAGACCACTGATTAATGATTAAACCAGTAGATAACAGATGCATAATACATTACAATATTATTAGGTGCTGATAAATACACAACGGTATTTATTAAACAGTGATAAATACACTGCAATACCAATTTACTAAGTGGTGAAGACATGTTGTGATATTCATGAGTGGTCGAGTGTGGGATTTTTTTTCTGGAAGGTGATAATTTTATGATAATATTTTATCAACCTGGCAACAAATGTATCTAATGATATGAGAATTGTGGTGCTCCCAGATACACTCTCATCTCCTACACACAATAAACCTTTATATTTTATTTCCTTCTCTTGTTTCTATCGTTATACTACTGTACATTACGCATGTTTCTCTTTTGTCATAAGGCAAATTCTGTGGGTACTTATATATAACAGTTTACAGTACGTAATAATCACTCGGTGAACACAGTTGTCAACAATCACTTAAATCTGATTTTCAACCCAGAGAGTTCTGCCATATATTTTTTTTATTATTGTACATGTAATAGTGTTTTACTAACCTCGTTATGCAACTAAGCACCTTAGGTGTGGAAGGGCAGTATTAATATTATGACATCAATTGATTTTCTTTAAACAGTTCTGATAAGCAGTGTTATCTCCAACCCCACCCCCCTCAGAAATTAGGAGGAGCAACGAAACCTTAGCATCACTAATTATAGTCTCAGAAATGTTGAAAGAAGAGGGTTGTTGCGCAAAATTTACAATAAATAATGCTATGATTAATACGACCGAGGTCCCATAGAGTTAAACTTTATTTTTTTTGTACAAAGGTTAACCCACCCAGGCACATTATAATATAATTCATTATTCTTTCAGTATCTTCCCAGGTGGTAGTACCTCCCTGTTTGATAGATGTCTACTACCTACTACTTTTACCTGATGACTTATTTTTTACTTTCTTTTACTATATTTTGTCCTATTTTTTTGTGATTTTAGATGTATATAAGGACTTAGGCTATGATATAGTGGGATTTTAAACATTGTTTTGTAAGTACAGTATGTACATAGGGTATGTGCTTCGAGTTAAGTACAGTTTCGACTTATGAGTGTTTGTAGGAACGGAACTCAAATGTAACCCAGGGACTATATATATATATATATATATATATATATATATATATATATGCAAAATCACTGTAGGTGCGCGTGATTAGGTATAATATGTTGTGTATTATCTTCAGTGAGTACTCACTGAAGATGTGAATTACGAACGCGCTTGGGAACTTCTTCTTTTCCTGTATATATATATATATATATATATATATATATATATATATATATATATATATATATATATATATATATATATATATATATATATATATCATGTAGATCCATGTTGCTCTGAAGATGTCTTGAATAAAGACGAAAGCTAAGGTGCTCCGTTGTTTCCCTTTTCCGTGTGATTTTATCAATATATATATATATATATATATATATATATATATATATATATATATATATATATATATATATATATATATATATATATATATATATATATATATATATATATATATATATATTTATATATATAGTGTTAAAGTTCCTGTATATTTTTGCGATGTTATGAAATTATTTGGAAATACATTTACTTAATTCAATTATCCGCTGTACATTATATCTTATTGAAATGTACCAAGACATCTTTTAGTATTAACATGCTACAGTACAGGGTGATTCAGGAAAAAGTACATTAAAGTGGAGGATGAAATCCTTGGATAATTCTAAACCACAATGTCTGTGTGGTAAAATGTCAGCTTCTGCATACTTTCCATGTTGCAACACGTTTAAGATGTGTTAATGAGAGTGAACTTGATGTGAAACCTGCATTGGTTTTTGAAATCATTTATTCACAGATGTCTTATGTAAAGCAGTACAGCGTGATACAGATGGCTGACACAGGTGCAATGAGACAGAGACCATGTACGACCGAATGAGATAACGGCAGTTACAAGGGGGAGGGGGTTTCAAGTCAAAGTCACTTTCATTAATACAACATCTTAAATGCATTGTAACATGGAAACTATGCAGAAGCTGATTTTACCATATAGAAATTGTGGTTTAGAATTATCCAAGGATTTCATCCTCCAATTCAATGTACTCTTTGCTGAATCACGCTGTATATACAGTATACGGTAAATGCTAAACTTTTTTAGATCCTTCACAAATTACTTAAATTCCCCTGCATTATCAAATTTTCTCTAAATGTACATTTAGAGAACGTGCAGATATGAATAGACTGAGACATGCAGAGTCAACAGCAACAGCGGTCCTCAGTCCTCATTCCCTGCCAGACCGTCCTGAGACTTAGGGTAGTAGCTTACACGGAGAGTTATTTTTTTTTTATTCTGACGTCGGCCTCTACGATTCCTACTCAAGGACAAAGTATAGTGAATGGCTAATTGTGTTAATGATTAAAATAATATTTGATAATTCTCATATATGTAATAAAGGTCGAAATATATTAGCTGGGGAAAAGATGTAAATTTGAAGGATAAGAAATAGTAAATTTGTTTCCTTATGTGTACATGATAAATTTCCAATACAGAAAGACTCAAGGATGGGCTAATGTGCCAGAGATTGTGACTGAGCGAGGCATGATTGTGGGGTTGTGGGAGATGGGGATATCAGTGAGTGATATTGCCAAATAGATGGGGATAGGATGGAGAAAACAATGGTGAGGAAATGGATCATGTGGAGCCGAGGCAGCATGTAAACTCCCTCAAGATGGCTAACGAGATCGTGGCAGCTGCACGGGAATATCCGTTCACATTAGCAATGCAGCTGACATGAGATCTTCAGCTGCCTTGTCGAAAAAGGACCACCAGAAGTCGCTTTCAGGACAGCGGTATCCACTCCTATGTGTCAGCACACATAGAAAGACTGACGCCGGCGAACAAGGGATCTGCGTTCGGTTTTGCCCTCCATTACCTTCCCTGTGATGTCGAATTTTGGTGGAACACAGTCTTCATCGACAAAAAAAAACATTTTCGTCCATAAAGGCGGGAGTGAGTCACACGCTACCAGCCGCAACACATGATCTTGTTGGAGAAAGATCTTGTCGTTGGTAAAACTAATGTTGGGGTGGCTGATTAGTTACCTACTGAGGGAGTGGATATGTTATTTGGTAATGATCTAACAGGGTACCGGGTGGTTCTGAAACCTAAGGTGGTTGAAGATCCTCTAACTTGTGATCGTATAGTGATGGGTTGCCAGACCACAGCTTACATCTCAGAAACAGTCCAGACCTGACCCGACATTAGAGGGGTCAAGTGCAGGGGTACCCCTCGCAGCCGCTCAAGGGGTTACAAATCAACCAGCACCCCTCCCTTGTCACACGGCCCCAACAAATATGTAAGAGACGCCCAGTCAGAAAAAGCCACCTGCCGACTCTCCCCCAATTTACACAATAACTTACAGTACATTTCAGAAAAGGTCCAGACCTGACCTCACATTAGTGCGGTCAAATGTAAAGGGACCCCTCACAGCCCAAGTCAAGGGGCCACAAATCAACCAGCACCCCTCTCATGTCACACGGCCCCACCAACGATGTTAACAGGCACGCAGTCAGCAGAAGATTCCTCCAAAATATTCAACAACTTACAGCTCCGAAAAAGTCCAGACCTGACCTTACATTAGCAAGGTCAAATGTAGGGGTACACCTTGTTGCCACCCAGTCATCTGCCGGCTCTTTCCCCAATATATAGGACCTGTAACGGGCCTCAAGAGAGAGAGTCTTGTAACCAAGAAGGGCCAGCAACAACGTCCCCAGTCCTGCTCAAGAGAAGTCCTTCACTAAGTGTAACGAGGTCTCAGCCGGGTCCATCGACAGAGTGCTGTCAACTTAACATGTAACAGTAAAGTGCTGGTTGTGTAGACAGTAGAAGTGCGGTGATCCCGAACCTCCCCAACGATCGAC